AACAAAAGCATATAATGAGGAAAAGAAAAAAGAATTTACCCAAAAAAATCAATTGGGGAAGTACAAATTCAGCATACTAAAGGAAGCACTTTACAAATCACTTCCACTTGAGCTCCTCCTTGTCTTGTCCCTTTCCCAATAACCTGCTCTTAAACTCTCAACACAAACCTTCTCATTGAATCTCTCTTGGGTCTCATCTGATAAGGAGCCACTGTAGTTTTGCTGCTGCTGCTGCTCTGTCCATATCCGACCGCTCCGATTTCCCACGTCGTACCCGGGAGTCGACAAGTAATTAGCATCCACGACAAGGTCGCCCTCCAGAATCCGTAAAACCTTGACAGTTAATATGGAAATGAATGGTGAGTCTTGAGAAGATGTGGTCCATCATATTTGATGCCTCCAAATCAAGATGCAGATTACTCACAAGTTTCAGTATTCCCTTATCTTTTTTTCCTTTTTGAAACAATACAAAATAGGGGGATGGGAAATTTGCATCTAATTGGCCACTTTATTAGTTGTCACCAAGGGGACCAGTACTCCCCTTCACTTGTTTCACTAACAAACATTTTGACACTTTGTTTTCTACTGTATTCAACTACTAAAACTACAAGTTCTCTACTGACTAGAAACATAATATCTTTCAAAATATACCCAGCAGTTTCCATTCTAGCCTATCGATCCGCCGAACAATCCTACGGGGAACAAAAAAGAGTGCTAAGTGTGTCAATGTCGTGTCTAATTAGATGGTTTTAGATGTGGTGTCTCACCTGCGACATTCGTGGCCTTGCGTTAGGATCTCTTCGGATGCATAACGATGCAGCGTGCAGCATACAGTACACTTCATGCTCTGCAAAGCTATTTCCCAACCTTGGATCAATGAGTTCATCAATGAGCAGTTCATCCAACAATGGGCGCGCCTAATTCATAAAGCAAGTATGAGCAGTTAGCAACGGTATAGCTTCTATGTCGTTAACTGGGTAAGAATGTGAATGTCAGAGAAGTTATCCTACCCATTCAGTGAGGCACTGTTGACCTTTCGGCCGACTAAGGTCCACGGCTTTTCGTCCGGTGATTAGCTCCACCAGTACCACCCCAAAGGAGTAAACATCAGCTTTTTCTGTGATTTGGCCACTCTGAGCATACTCTGGAGCCAAATACCTACACCATAGAACAATAACTTAGTCAATCGGATATGTGGACGAGGCATGTTAGAGGGAAGGTATGAGATATGATCAGATGTCTACCCAAATGTTCCAATAACTCTTGTTTCGACACCCGTATCTCCATCGGGCTGCCACCTCGCGAGGCCAAAATCTCCAACCTTGTAGAAAAAGAATGAAACTCAGACATTGATGAAAAAGAGAAAAACCTTGATCAATTCCAAAATTTCGTAGGCTGTGGGCTGTACTGTAGTTTATGATGTATTAAGCTAAACAGGAAAACCACAAAGTTGGAAAAGAAAATGACATTTGACTGCTGGAGGATGGATCCATGAATACCATGAGAAGTATTTTACAGATGTTAGCCAAGATGGGGAATTGTCATACCAGTGGTTCAAAATCATGGGTAATAAGAATGTTGTTCGGTCGCATATCCCGGTGAACAATGCAACCCACTCTACATTCTTCATGTAGATATCGTAGCCCCCTCGCAGCTCCCACGGCAATCTTTTGCCGTGCAGACCATTCCAAGGGCTCCTGTTGGCGTCCTGAATATGCATCACAAAACTTACTCACAAAAGAATTTAACAAAAAAATCAAAATAAAGAACTGTTAGGTAGGGAAAAAACAAAGATGGGCAAATGTGGGGGTTCTTCCATTGCATCTGTGTACTAATAATAAGACCCTAAAAAGAGACTCCATTGCTTTGAAATGTAATTTGTATCAATAGAAATGTGCATTGTATAGCAATAACTGAATGAGTGCATTTTCAAGTGGTTGAGGTCAAAAGATTACCATATAAATGAGAATCCAATGAGCCATTGCAGATGTATTCATAAACCAGCAACCTTCTTTTCTCCTCTATACAGAAGCCGATCAACATCACGACATTTCGATGTTGTGCACAGCTAAGAACTTCAACTTCTGAACAAAATTCAAGGTCTCCCTGAGAACTAGCTAATTTGTGCTGCTTGACAGCAACCACCTGCCCGTCCGGTAGTACCCCTCTGTGAACAGATCCATATCCTCCTTCTGCCAAAAAGTTGGCTTGTGAAAATCCACCAGTAGCGAGCTCCAGCTCGGCATAGCTGAACCACCTCGGAGGCTTTCCAAAAACTGGTGCCTTGTGTTGACATATTGAACATAATGGAGGGGGGCCTGGTGGCGTGTTCCTTGACAACGAAACCGCATCTCGTACGTCCCCGTGGAAGTCATTGTCGCTTCTATGGCTTGAAATTCCAATACTAGATTCTCTTTCGAGTTTTGAAGACTTTGGTAGAAAAGATTTTCTTGTTGATACTTGATTCCTGTCATCACATCTCTGTGACCTTCCACTTATATGTTGTGAGGATTGAAGGTGAGAACTTAGAAACTCCGTCATCCATGGTTGGAACCTTAAACTCGCTGAAGATACCGATAAATTTTCACTATCTGAATCTGAACTGGCAGCATCAAGTTCTTTATTTTCCTTGATAACAAACAGCTCCTCTTTCTTTGTGTCTCCATTCATTTCAGAGTTGAAAAATGGTGAAGTTCCAGGATCTGAGCTTGACACAGACGATGTTCCAGCTTCGGTGGTGGTAAAAGGTGTACCCAGCTCTGGACTGCTATTCGGCGTCACAACTGGTCCCCGAATAAAATCCAGAGGATCGTTATTTTCTTTTTGATGGCTTTCAGACCCTTCATCTATATCAGAAGGTAATGGAGAGGTCACTTCTGATTCCTTCTTAGGAGAGCCAACCAGGTTCAAGCGAAGAACTTTCGGCTGTGATCGCTTCATTACGACAATGTTGCATTGTAACTCCTCCATACAACATTTCTCCTCGTGTTTGAGCTGCCTGGAACAATTTGAGAATTACATTACACATTGTAGCAAAAAGAGAAAGAAAAAACCCCAAAACATAAAAGCAAAAAATAAGATTCGAGAAAACTTAGAAGAGAGCAAAATAGAAAATTACTTGTCTAACACAACCCAGCTAGCTTGAGCTCTCTTAGCCTCAGCAGCAACGGCCCCACTGGGCGACCCCGAGACAATTTTGATTTTCACATTTATCTGCAAAAGAAAAAGTTTCATTTCAAGAAATGAGTCATCCAATTGGAGAATTAACTCTTTGAACATGAGAAAAACACCAAGAGGAAGCTTAAGGTTATTACCTTATTTGGATCATAAACATCATGAAGCTGCAGGATCATCTGCGAGCAGGAATCGGTAATATCGCATTTCTGCTCTGAGCTTGTTCCAGAGTGAGCTTTCTTGTGACCACTTGCGCAGTCCCCAGCAAATCTCGGGAAACCCCAGAATTTTCTACCTGAAGGACATGGTGCTGTTAGTAATCTGCTAATTGAGTAATGAAAATGAAGCCCAGTAAACAATTGTAGGGGCCCTATCTCATCTTCCCGTTTGGAACTTTCCTTCTGCATTTTTTAACAATCATTTGGAACATTTCAAAATCCCATGAAACTAGAACAGCCTCCACAACCAGAGTGTAAGATCTGGAAGCATGTTTGATAAAAAGCAGAAACTTAGCGACAACATTTTCAAGAAGACTGGTTAATGGCAGAACCGGTTCGGGAAGATGAACAAATGACTGACCAAGAACAGGGACATGAAAAACATAAGAGGAAATCAAGTTTGGATCATCACTAAATGCATAAGTATTTGCACAAATCAAAATGAGGGAAAGGGAAACAAAAAAGCATACCAGAGCTTTGAGAAGGGACAACAACCAGCAGAGTTATGCAATCTCCAAGTTGAACAACATGAGTCAACGCCCAAACCAGAGCAGTTTTTGGAATTTCTTTGGAAGCCTTCACTGCAACAATCACCTTCTGGACATCATCAGAACCTTTGTCCTGCTTCCCCCGCTTCTGCTCCCGACTCATTACCACGTCGATTAGTCGAAAATTTCCTACGCTCTAAGAAAGTCAACTCTCAAACTCCAAGAAGCAGATATCGCCACTGCTGCTGCTCAAAGACATGGCTAAGGACCAAATCCAGAAACATGTGCATTATTGATCTGTCCCACAATGTTGGATTCAAGTTATGTTCACGACCGACATGCTCACAATTCAGTCCAGTTAATCCCGAGCCTACAATGACACGACCCTTTTCACACCAATTTATATATATTACCATCACCACGTTGTCATTTTATCTTAATCAGTGTTTCAGAGCATAATCTAGGACATTCTGATACCGAAAAACTTCATTAACCCTTGTGAAACTTAAGAACAGAGAGAATCAGGAGATAATTGGCAACAAATTGTAAAGAAAACAAGGAAAGAGATGCACATGCAGATTAGATTTCTCTATCCATTTCGAAGCTAAGCACCTCCCCTGAGCTTTCAAATCACCAAAAATGGCCCTCGGTCTACAGGGATTTGAAGAAATTCCGGAAAAAGATTCTTAAAAAAGGATTGGAGTCAGTGACACGACAGAACCCAGCTCGCTCTTGTTGATGGGTAGTGAATGAGAGGTGAATGAATCAGTTGAGACAGAACCCAGATGAAAAATGAAATCAATCAGCCTCAAATAAAGCTTCATCGAAACGACCAGCGACAACAATGTCCGGAGCCAAATCTGATCAAATCCAAAAGCTACCTAGAGATAGAAAAGAAAAATGTAGGGGGAACAAAAATCACAAAGATCCAATGTCAGTAAAAGGACTAAGTATAGCATTCAACATTTCACTAAAATGCACACAGTTTTTCGATCGACCCACCGATTGAAAACCCTGAAATCTTCAAGGAAACAGAGCGAAAGCTGCTCACAAAACAAAACCCAGAAACAACTTGTTATCCAAATCTTAGCGAGGACCTCTGAATTTTTTTTCCCCCACTTTCCTCTGATGGGTCTCCTTCTTCTTTCACGTCAAGCCAGCCAGAGCCGCAGGAAGAAGCCGAAACGGGTCCGAAAAGAGAGGATAGATTGAATTTTGTAAGGGTAATCAGAGTAAGCGCCAAATTATGAAAACAAAAACATAATTGGGTTTTCTTTTTTCTTTCTTTCTTCTTCTTTTTTCTTAATTTCTCTCTCGTTTTTTGCCAACCACCATCATCCAACCCAACCCTCGCTCCTGAAAACCTTTTTTGAGATAATGAGTACAAAAGTTTCTTCAGAGAGAGAGAGAGAGAGAGGGTGGGGAAGAGAGAGAAACTGTTTGAGTGAAATGAACAATCGATCAGCTTTGTGGTGTGTCTGTTGGAGAGAGAGTGGATTGAGGATAGAGAAATTTAACTTCAAAGTTGCGTCAAAATCATCAATAAGATTCATAAATCACAAACTTTCATCACATTTTATGCCAATAAAACTTTCACATCATATGATTCTAGATAGTTTTACATGTAACAGTGGAGAAAGATTAATTTTTTCTCAATGGGGTTAGCCAAATCCAACATCATTAACAAATTACAGAGCTGTTTTTAATTCAAAAAGTGAAATTTTGAAGGAAACAAAAAGAGGGGTGGGAAAGAGGTTGAATAAATCCAAAGATTAGCACAAACTGTGCAGATGCAAGCATGTCTCTGTGCTTCATCAGCCTGCTGCTCAATCAGTTTCCTCTGCAACTTGCCCAATCAAGTTCTAGTTTGCCCATTTTCAAAAAGGCCCTCCATTTTAATCGTAATTACAGAATTAACCTTCCCAATTTTTGTGTTCGTTGTCTCAAGGGCGCTAGAATATTATAATTTGAAAAAAAAAGAAGAATATACTTGGAAGAAATAAATGGGGCCCATGAACATGAACTTTATTTTTTAAAATACTTGATTTGAATTAAAGGGTTGGTTGATGAAACAAAAATATAGAGTATGGTTTGGAGGAAAAAAAGGTGGATGGATGGAATGATCTTATTTGAATTGATCCACTTTTCATGTGGCCGTACCATAGTGTATGATTATTAGGTATATTGGGAAAAGTGTGACTTGATAATATATATTTTGCATAAATGTTTGAGCCAAAGTGYTTTGGAGTTTAAAAAAAAAGAAAGGAAAAAGGTCGTAATGATCTCCTATCAAGTTACTTCAATTGAATGCGATTATGGTAGCTAAGTCGTTTCGACTCGATATTAGATTTAAAAAGTGTGAAATATTTATTTGCTGTGAGTTGTTTTATTTTGATGATTTTTCTAGTAATTTTTATCAATATTTACATTTTATGAATCTATTGACTTAAAATTAAGATTTCAACATTTCCATCGATATTATTAGATTTGGAACTTTTAGGTACAGGTGAGCAAAGAGATTCGAAAAACTGCTCGGACCGATCAGAACCGAGGTTGGTTGGTCGGTTCCTTGGTTTGCCGTTTCAATTGTCGGTTGACAATCATGCAACCCTAAATTCGATCGACGGACGGACAATAATATACCCCTCCCGCTCTTCTCCTCCTCAAATTTCCTCTACGTTTCGAAAACCCCTCGACCCTCATTCAAATTCTGGACAAATTGAATGGAAATAATGAAAAAGATGAAGATAAACTAAAAAAACGGAATTGAAAAGAAAAATAGCATTATTGGTTTTCCGACAAACCAATCGGCCAAACTGACAATTGATTCAATCGGCACCAATTCATGCAGGTAAACCGTTGGTTTGTAAATCGGTCTCCATTTTCAGCATCGGGAAGAACTAAAAAACCGACCCAGACCACTCCATACCAAACAACGCTGCTTTTAGGTTCGAATTTTTTAAAAGAAAGTTGAAAGACCCAAAATCGTAAATACAGCAAAGATAGAGGGCTCTTTATCCAAGACATCTGAAAACCCAGTTTCAATTTTGAAACTTGTCATTAATGCAAAAACGTGAACTCAACCACAATCCCTAGTAAAGCATTTAAACAAAGAACAGAAAAAAATGCCCACCCCCCGACACTGTCCCCAAGCGCCATGGCCCCCACGTGGGGTCCACTCGCCGTTAGCAGTCGTCGTCAACTGTCCCATCGCCCATCCGTCGCCACCCACGTGTCCACCTGTCACCGTTTCGCCCACCCGACGCCGTCAACGTCTTCCGTCTTCACGGCTCACGCTCGCGGCGCGGCGCGTTACCTTCCTCCGTTCATCGCCGCGTCAGAAGACGGTGACGGGATTTACCTCACGGTAGGGTCACTGTAGCAGCTGCTTCTTCTGCGGCTGCAGTGACCAGACGACGGCGTTTTTGGCGGCTGACGTCCTCGGCTTCGGTGCCACGTATCCCGGATCGTGTCGCAGCTTTCGAACCTCCGAAAGTTTTTTTTTCTATTATTATTTATTTCGTTTTTCTTCCAAAGTTTAAATTTTATTTTGTTAAATCAAGTTTATATTATTTATTTCGTCTTATTATGGCCAGAAGACAAAAATAAATAAATAATGCATTTTTTTGTTTTGTTATATTATTAATTATAGTTAGTGGTTAATCTTATTATTATTATCAACCGACTATGGAATACAACGCACGTTTTCATGCATGTTTATACTTGTTTAATGAATTAAATATATTTTATATTTTATATTTTTKTATTATACAATGTATTTATATTTTTATTCTTATGGACGATATTCATTATATATATATTTCACATCTTATCTTAACACAATTTTTATATTGATATATCTTAAATTCAAGAGAGGTTGCTATGATTTTAAATAAATCTACCTTTACTTAGCTTAAAGGTTTGAAAGTTTAAGTGCATGTAATACATATTATATTGGGAATTTGAAAGTTTAACGGATCTAAAATCTATATTTTTATATGTGTGACACATAAAATGACACAATTAGAAATAAATTTGATAAAGACTATATTGAATTTGTATCGGTCTACCCAATGTAGCCTATGTTTTAACAATTGATGGAGATTACATATGAGCTCATAAAAGTCTTCCCGAGTATTTACTCACCATTTTTTCTTCTCATAAAATCTATCTTATAAGCCCTTAATCACCATGCAATGCTTATGCGCACCATAAAAGAATATAAGATTTGTGTTTATAAATTACCCTAATTCATTCTACGTTCGTAGCGCAGGCAATATTCTAGGTGTTGGGTCACTCTATAACACCTTGGGGCTATTACCAGCAACAAAATGCTATCTATAGAGATAGCACRGCTAGTTTGTCGTACTTAATTTCTATGTTCAACAATGTATTTTCGATTTTGACTTTTAAAAGAGCTTACTTGATGATTAGGATCAAGCCACCAACCTAACAGTTGAACTAAATTGCACAAATGAATGAGTCGTATGAATACAAATTTATATAATATATGATTGGTTTATGAGCTTTTTGTTATATAAACCAAATATAGGTTTCACAAGTCCAGGTGTGTAGTGTATGTGATTAGTAAACCTGTAACAATGAGACCATAAGCAAATCAACCTAACAAAATACGACTTCTTAATTTTCAAGTTACACAGACTTTATGACTCACGAGTATATATCATTTAAAATTTATCTCACATGGAATAACTAACAATAAAGTGGTATTATGCAAGTAAAAGTGACAAGTTTGCTTCTTAACTTCCAACATTATAAGTCAAATCATTAGTTATTAACAGTGGCATGTTGACTGTATTGGGAAATTAGGCGCTCCGCACAATGTTTCTCTCTATAACTATAGCTAGTCAATTAAAGTCGATCACACAACACAAACAGAAATATAGGTAAAGCAATAAATGACACAACAGATTTATATTGATTCACTCTAATTGGTTACGTCCAGTCTTCGACTCAGATGCGGGTTCCATTATATGAGAATTTGATACAAGCACTCACAATATCTCCCTACGGTACACCTTCTAGAGGTTCCAACAAAAGCATTCTTGCTTCTAAGTATTTAACATTGTGCTTAGGTACATGAATAAAAGAACTCACAAAGTAATCGAGAACTAATTATCCCAAACAATGATTTTGATCTGCCATATTTTGTGTGTTGCTAACACCCCGAGTCGTCGCCTCTTAACGCCACAAAATTCTTCTCAATTTTCCGAAAGTTTTTTTTAATGATTTTTGATCCTTCTTTACCCCATAATGATATTGAATCCTCACAGCTGCTGAAAACTTAAGCAAAACGAAGGTAATTTTATAATAACTTGCACTGGAGTGTTGAGACATTGTTTATAGCGTCTCAATGCTACGCACCTCCCTTGTGACAACGTTGAGACATCGTCCTTAGCATCTCAATGCTCTGATTCTTGCAACCTACGATGCCTCCTCAACTAGCATGCCTATATATAGTTCTCATGCATTTCACCATTCATTGTTCATCAAATCTTCATCGATTCGATTGTGGTTTGGCTCCACCAATCCCAACAAATTAAACTGATAAGTGATAATTTGACATGTTAAATGATAGTAGTAGACAATTAAATATATATAAGCATATACATACCAACAAATTCAATCCAACATTCAAATATGTAGTAAATTTTAAACCAATTTAGTTTTTGAATCCTATTTCATCCTCATTTTTTATASGTATTTCATCTTAGTATTTTACCTTTTAAATATTATATTCTACCCATAAACATTACATATAAAATTATTCTAATCCTTGCCACTAATTTTATGTTAATCAAATAAAAATACTCTGAATTCGTTAGAAAATATAAGACCTGTAACACATGACTTTACACACTTGTACATRCATGAATTGATCAGGTAAATGAAAAAAAAATATATGCATGTATCAAAATATAATATTTTATTTAAATGATTAATAGCAAGAACTAAATTGATTTTTTCGGAAAATTCAAAGTTAATTAGTTAAAACTTAAAATAAACTAAATAAGATTTTAAAATTTAAGATTAATATACTTTTTTAATTCGCTTATTATAAATAAAAAAATCAAATCAACGTTGAAAATCTGTAAAATTGATTGATGCGTGGTTTGTGCGAGACGGAGCGTCAGAAAGCCGACAAATCGTCTCGCTTATTTTTAATTTCTTTTAATAATCAAATAAAACACTGTATTATTCAACGACATCGGCGTGCATTAAAATTGATGACACATATGTCCAAACTCATCTTCTCTTTTTCTTTTTTCTGTTTAATTAATCAAACACACCCAGAATTTTATAAAATTATCTTAATTAGAATAATTATTATATTTAATGACTTAATTGTATTTTTGGCATTATCGTTAATTGTAGGCATGTTTTGTCTTAGCTTATAGTTTTTTTTTGTTAAGTTTTTTTCGTTACCGTGAATTTTTCATAAATTATTTAGTAAAAATTTTTGCATGACATGTCTTTTGTTTGCCTACAAAATTTGACTATGTTTGTACATGCATTTGAAACAATATACTAATC